TATTTCGAGTCTCGTGAAACAAAACGTGTACCGATTAATAAGTCACGCCGTTCTTAATCGCATCGAAATGAAGCATACGTGTTGGCTGAGCTAACAATCACGAGACAAATTGCCATGCAAAATACCAATGCATTAAATACCGATAATGAATGATCGTTTATGTTATTACCGGAAAATACTGCATCCCGAATATGTACACGGTGTTATCGTGAATCGCTTCATGGAATTATGCATAAAAAGTACAAACTTATTGGGCAGCTCTATTTATTGGAGATTTCTATTTTCGTAAAATGAGAAACTAGTCATCAATCCTCATTTTTCGCGTATTCGAGCGATTAATCTATCTTTGAATTATTTATAAAATTTGTAGCTTTTTGTTACGATGTTCTTTTTTCATGATACAAAAGACGGACAATTTTATTCGAAATAGTTGAACGAAAAATTTTTTTAATTTTCTTTCACACACATTTTTCGTAAGTATCATTTTCAATTCTATCGTATTAATATTTATCGATGATCCTTTAAAATTTAATTCAATTTAATGCAATTCTGTTGTTTGCAATAAATTATTTTCGAACGTACCGAAGATAGGAGCGAACTGAGCGACATGGAATATGGAGATAAAAGTATGAGGTTTCACATCAGAAAATTGCTTGGTCGAAGAAAAATCAATTAATCGGACCGTCGAGGCAGAATCTTATATTTACTCGGTCGAATCTTCCAATAAATTGACTTATTCTAACCGTTGATAAATTCTCTTTGCCCGGAACTAATATTTGAAAATCCTCGCTGTTAATAAAATACGATATTCGGATATTCGGATCGACACAAAAGTTCCACAGCGGGCACCAAATTTCATTTCAAGGTCTCCACCGGAATAAGAAATCTCATCCGTTGAGGCGCACGGAAATTCACATTTTGAAAATTTAAATTTAAATTAATATTTAAATGAATTGGAGTGAACTTCTTTCTTCTTTCCCTCAAAAAATATTTCACGACAGTAACAATGAAAAACGAGAAGGCGGAAATTCAAATCTCTATCTTCTAAAACTGCTTGTAATTTCTGATGAAAATACACATGATTAGAAGCGTTGAACCTTTACCTTTAAAACACTTTTCGTTTCATCTCGATACGTCTTCCGGTTCCAGAGATATCGTTGTGTAAAGACAAAGGTAATTTTCGACCGGTTCCTCTCTTCGTCCTTGTCGCACGCTCGCCCCCTCTCACTCGAGCTGTTTGTCGCTGACCTACCGCACGTGAGAGTGGTCAGTGACAGACAGATTTCCAGGAAAGAATATAGATCACGGCGTCTGGCGGCCAATTCAAGATGGCGGAGAGTCTGGCGCGAGTTTCAATTCACGTAAACTTCAAAGCGCTGTATCTTCCGAACGCATTCAGATATCGGCGTAAAACGAAGCGCGTTTTAAATGGTACACTTTCCATTATTTTCTCAGAGTATTCTGCTTTGTCCACTACCTTTTTAAAGTATACTTTTAATTTCTTCTTTACAAACATATAGTGTATATACATTAGTACATACAATGATCCAGTTTCTCCCGATTAGACATGGAAAATTTTGCAATGAGATGCGATCTTTAAACCAAAGATTTCGAAAAGATGAGTCAATTATTAAGAAACGTAGAAAAATCGGTACGCATGATTTCTCAAGGAACAGAGTGAAAATGAGATTTGGAAAAGGCGAGATCTCGATCGTTTTAGGTGAAATTCCATACTTCGACGTTGGACGATATCGATCATCGGTTTCAAAGAAATTTCGTAGAATGTTTTGCGGAGAATTTAATCGTTCAAAGAAATATAAAATCATTTCGTTTCGTTTCATGAAATGTAAACCATTCATATTAAAAACTATGTGTTAATAGCATTTTTAGAATTTTAATATACTAGAACCTATCGTGAATCTGTAGAATGTAAATAAATTTTTTACTTGGAATGATTTGACTTTTTGTCTGTTATTTACTACTTGATCGACTTCGGCTGTTTTATTTGTTATTGATTGACTAGAACAAATTCGATGTTCAATGTTTTCCCGTGTCTTATGTTTTGGGCTCAAGTAGTATAGGTCAATGTTTGATCAGAAGTACACAAGTAGATTTGCTCGTTTTAATCGGACCTAACGCTAGCTACCTGTTCTTATCTTAAGTGTAGTGGATTTCATCTAAAATTGAAGTATCTATCTTCGAAGCAAATGAAGCTAAGATTTTGTATCTTCAGAGTATTTTCTCGAGTATCGATCGGTGGCCATTATAATCCAAAGTAATTTTAAAAAAGAATTGAGAATTTAGTTAGTTAGGAGTTACTTTTGAAAACAATGAAGTATAAATTATATATTTAACATGTGTATTAATACGTCGTTTATAACCTAAAATCTAAACTTTCAATAGTCTACGTGGAAAAACCCATCGATGAATTCGTAAAACCAGGAGCTCTTTTTGATACTCATATAAATACATAAATATACAATAATTAAATATAAAATAATTAACACATCAAATATAAAATTAAATATAAAATAATTAAGACATTGAATATAAAATTAAATATAAAATAACTAATACATTAAATGTAAAATTAAATATAAGCTATAAAATAATTTTAGATACTAATTTTGTGTTTGATAGCTGGGGTGATACACTCTTTGACAACACTGTAACGGATTTCATTTTACTTACAATTAGTTATTTCACTTGATATAGCTCTCCAATTCACCGTTCCTTAAGCATTGAGTGCACTAAAAAAAAATTCAGTGACTTTTTCACAGATTCTGAGACACGAAGTTTCGCTTCACATCTGATCTATCTTTTCTTTAGTCAATAATATCATCTATGGTTTCATCTTCCACACGAGTCGACAAAGAACAGCGAGTAAGCGGAAACGGTCTTTTTCCTCAATTGCGAGATATTAATAAACAGAAAAATCCAGT